GAGAAAGTGCAGAACAAAAGGCATGCCAGGTGGAATGGTAGAAATGGAGTTTAATGTTTGTTTTGGCCAGTCCTGGGGCTTGAACTCAGGGCCTTGGCACTGTTCTTGAGCTTCTTTTGCTCAAGGCTAGCACTCTACCACTTGAACCACAGCACTACTTCTGCTCCCTCCCCCCCCCATTTATGTGGTACTTATGAATCAAACCCAGAGCTTTATGAAAGGTGGCAAGCACTCTACCACTAAACCACATTCCCGGTCCCTGGAGTCTAGTTTTATGGGATGCATGTGGATTCATGCACTTGCTTCCTGGTGGTTGCCATGTATATGGAATGATGTAAAATGTTTTCAATACGTAGCTGTTAAATATGTGGTATATAAATAAAAATCACTTGTAGATGACTTAACCTTAATATTTCCAACCCAGTACCACTTTCTTTACTTTTGCTTTTAGTGTGGGATGGCAAAAAAAAGATACCTGAGGTATTATAAAGAATAATATAACTACATGTATATGTTTCCTGTTCTCTTCTCAAATGAACTGTCCTTATGAGGATTTCATAAGGATATTCTAGTGGTAAAACAGTACCCTCCTCAATAATAAGTTACAGCTACTGCAATTAATAATGTATCAAAATCAATTTATATGCTGTCTATAAAGAAATGGATCTTTTATAGTTTTTTATCCTTATATCTGAATGGAAGTCATTAGAGTATACCTATTGTTTTCACAAGGTATATGATGAATGAGTCTAGTCAAATATGTTGGCGAAGATTGCCTGTGGAGGTTTTCCATTGGTTTAATTAATGTCCACTAGACAGAGTGCAAACAGTCTGTTCGCAAAGAATATTCCTGGAGATCCCTCCTACCGAGTTTGTTTTCACTACAGCTAAGGAAGGAGAAGTTACAGCTCATGAATCTCTTTGTCTTGATTGTGAATAATTGATTTTTGGATCTGACTTAAAAGATAATCTAAAATATTTTCATGAGTTCCAAAGCTCATGAAATGCAGATGAGTGATTTGCTATATAGATAAACAAGCTGTGGTCCTTCTGCTTTTCTTCTGTCTTGGTTTCTGTAAAATATCCATTTTGATTGATTTTTACATCCCTAAAAATCATTCAGACATGTTACCAATATCATCTAAGCAACATCATGTTTCTGTCTTGATGAGCCATGTCCTACTGATCATGAATGTAACAGTGCTACCATTGCACGTGCTCAGGCAGACCTGTTTATTCATAACATAGCCAGAGAAAAAGAATGAGGTTTCACATGGCAATCTGATGCATTTTCACAGAGACTGGGGCTGAAGTTCACAAATCTTCTCATTAGAAAACCTGTCAGACCTTCCCCGAAATCCTGCTTACTCTTTGCAAGCCCAATTAGAGGCAACAATAATTGGTTTTCAATGTCTGAAGTTCAGATGATAGGAGCAGAATGTCTGTGGGTGGACAGGCGCCAGCCGAGGTCTATGAGTGCAGCCAGTGGTCCGTAGTGGTTAGTAGTGTAAGCAAGTACTGGTCAGTGAACACTGCAAAGAACTGTGGAGACACCACACAGAACTCCAATCCTATGTACAAACTAATGTCAATAAAAATGACACCATACACCAACTTAAATGGCACATTGAAAGGAAATGGGAAAGGGAGAAAAACACAAAATACTCTGGAGACTGAAGCTTAAAAGGAGAAAAATAAACACACAGTCACATGTTATGCAAGAGTTCTATCTGTCTAACTCAATTCACTGTCACCCATATCCAGCTAGAGAATAAATTTGCATAGTTACTACAGGACCAAGAACTGGATACATTCATTAGATTATAAATTAAATGCAAACTATGAAGATCACCAGTCGATGTTTTAAAGCTCCTTGACATTGTTTTGTTAGAGTTACAGGTTAGGAAGAGAAATTGAAACAGAGAGAGATTTCAGGTGGTTGAGAAATAGAACTTCTAGTATTTCAGAAGGCAGGCAGGCAGGAAGGAAGGCAGGTAGCTGGGTGGAAAGGAAGGAAGAAAGAAAGAAAGGAAGGAAGAAAGGGAAAGGGAAGGGAAAAAGGAAAGAAGGAAAGAAGAAAGGATATCTAACATTCAAATATTGCTTTAAACTTCTCTATTGAAGTTTTTAAACGAATACTCTTTGAAAGTTTTAGGTTATTTCCACTTAATTTTGTCTTTAGAGGATTGACATGCCAGGCCTCAGGTTGAAGTTGAGTCTTTTGTGTGTATAATTTGTGTATCATCTTAAATACTACTGAACATTGTGGGAAGGTATAATCTATTTATTGCATTATGTTTGTTACCATTTCTTATCAAGTCTGATGGTCTAGTAAGGTCTTGTGTAGGTCTGTCAGCTGTTTGTATACACCTAAATCTCCAATGATAGCACTTTCCCAGAGCTACTACTCTGAACAAAAGGCAAGTGTACTTTTCTGATGCTGACCTACGTTTTGTACTAGGAGGTTTTGTCTAACTATCATGCAATCTTATTGCTTACGTTTGTTTTAAACTCCCTCATATATTTTTGATAATGAAGCAGGACATATAAATGAGACTAGAATAATAGGTCTCAAGGCTTGACACATTCCTCAGAAACAGTGTCTGCTTTTTCAGGGAAGATATTCTCAGTCCCATTTAAAATATGGGACAACTAAAGCATGGAGTTGTATACATTTCTCAAGGTTCTACAATCAGCAAGCCCTAAAAGGACAGAATTTTATCCCAAGTCTATTGAACCTTTGCACAGTACTTTTCCCATGACTCAATTCTGCCTGGTCTATGCTTCTGGCTCCAAACAAAGAATCAGCAGTGATTACATTCCCTCATTCAGTCAACCAGTCAATAATTGCGTACTGGTATATATCTGGGACAAGCAGAAAAGGTAAAAAGCTATGCACATATGACCAGATAAGATGATGTTAAGAGAAATGAACCCCAAGATAGGGACACAAGTGGTTTTTTTCTTTCTTGCTACTGCTTCTAGTGTATTTATATTGTACCATGTTTTTTTGTTGTTGTTGTTGTTTCTTTGTATGTTCCTCCCCTCATGATATAACCCTTGTTTTCACGATGTCAGTACGCTGCATCTTGTATATACACTTCTCTAATTTGGGGAGAATGGAAAAAACAAAACTAGGGATACAGGTTGACCCTTTGTAACAATGAGATGTACAAGATACTATGTTGAAAACGAACTTTACAATTCAGGCAGGGTGGGTGGGGTGTGGTTGTGGAGGTCGGAGGGAAGAGATGGTAAGGGAAAATCAAAGTAGGAGGCAACAATGCTTGATAAGAAATGTACTCATTACCTTGCTCATGTAACTGTAACCCCTCTGTACAGTATTTTTACAATAAAAAAGTATTAAAATAATTACATGCTGTTGAATGGCCTGTATGTTGGACAAATGTATCTAGAAAGAGACAGGCATTTTCTAGAGTGACAATGTTAATACTGATTGGATGTGCTTGTTGAAACCTTGGTGCCAGGAGATTGCCTAGGGACCATGTGTGACTCTTAGTGGACATGAGTTCCTTTCACCATAGAGCTCAATAAATTAAGCACATTTCTCTGGCTGCCATTTCTCTGGCTCTTGGCTATCTGCTCTAGTGGAGCTTTGGTTATTTTAGATCCTAAGATCCTTTTAAGGGATAGATGGAGGTACCATGAAGGGTTTCTTTCTTGGCTGTATCTGACTAAGGCATCAGATTATATAGGCGATCTTTCCAATTCATTGTCTCATCTAGAAAAATTCTTAGCACCTTTTTGAGTTGAAAGGAACATGGTTGTGACTGCCCTGCTGTGATTAGCAGTACTAAGTAGCTGATTCATTAATATTGTAAGCTTCATTAAATACATTGTATCTTCTTGAGTGTTCTCCTATTTAGGGGAATAGCTGAGATGTGATTGAATCCCTGTTCTTTGAGCCCTTTTTGAACTTATATCCTAATAGCTATAAAGCCTGTCAATTCATATCTCTTGGTAATGGCTGGGTAGAAGGTTGTTCCTCTTGCTCAGAAATGGGATTTCCAATCCTGGTGGAAGACCTTCCCCTGCTGACCTGTTGAAATGAAAGACTGGGAGTCATGATTAAATCTAATTTTCCCTCCTCTAGTGGCAAGAAGAACTGGGTCACCGGGGCCATTCCCTGCAGATGGCTTTAAAATACCTCTGTGATTTGATCTCCTTGCCATCCCATCCATTTCTATAAGTGCCTGTCGCTGTCATCCTTTACTATCCTGACAAGTTCCCAAGGTGAGGAGAGCGTGGATGGACAAGAGCAGCTGTGATCCATGCTGAGGGCTCTGATTATTAAATGAGTTAGGCAATGGACCAGGTCTGTCTCGTAAACTACAGGGTACATTGCACACTTACTGAACTTAACCCATACAAGGGCACTGATGTTTCTGAGCCAGCCTGGTTCATGTGAAATAGATACAAATATACCCTCATAATCTCAGAATTTTGTTTCTTAATGAACTACTTTGGGGTACAGAATAAGTTTCTTGTCTCTGAGAAAGTACAATGAAAATCTGAATGGCCACTTAGATGCTCTTCAGAAAAGCTAGTGGGATCAGATACTATTCTATGCCTTTTGTGTGTGTGTGTGTGTGTGTGTGTGTGGCATAATCTTAGCCTTTTATTTTTGAACAAACTGCAAATATCTCAGTCTCATTGCATAGGATTCTTCTCACTTGCTTTCTCAGAGCAGCTAGAGAATGTTTACAAAGCCTGTGTCTGAACAGAGAAGGAAAAGGCATTGCTATAGGGCTGCTCACCAGCTTGAGAGATACTGCAATATCGGCCATGAATCTCTGTCACAGTTTGTGGTAGGTGGCAATTATACAGCACTTGAAGATGCTTCTATAACTCAAGTTAGCTGCTTTCCCTGTGCTGTTAGTTTTCCATTTTTACGACAAGTCCACTCACCTTTACTTCCCTTGTAGATGGACTGTTAGTAAATTATGCCTGGAGTTTACACATTCTCTTTCTTTTCCCAGGCTGGCAGTACCAAGTGGCCCCAGGCTTTCCTGGAGCAGAAGAGGATGTGCACGTGGATGTGCATGCGTACAGCCACCGATGGAAAAGGAACTTGGATCCTCTGAAGGCGGTAGACACAAACCGAGCAAGCATAGGCCAAGACTCTCCAGAGCCACGAGGCTTCACTGACCTGCTCCTAGATGATGGGCAAGACAACACCACTCAGATTGAGGTGGGTGAATATGCTGGATAATTGAGATGGATTAGATGCACACATGCTATCCCTGCATGCTGATCTAAACCTTCTAGAATTTTTTTGTATTTTGTTAACTACAATTATTTATCGATTTTATATTTTATTATCTTTAAGTAGTTGTACAACGGAATTGCCATTCCACAAAGCGGTTTATGAATACATTGTGTCTTGATCAGTACCATCTCTTTCAAAGTTTTCACCCATCCCTCCCAAACCACCACCCCTTCCCTCACTTTTTAAAAAAATTTTGTAGGATATGTGCTGCATTTCTGACTACATTCTCCCCTTCCTCCATCTTTTCATTTGTCTACCCAACTCTCCTTGACTCCACCCACACCTTTCAAGTATCTGTTTCCTGGTGTTTATTTTGTTGAACTTTGATTTACTCTTTCTAAGGCATTCTATTGTTGGAGTGTAACTCCTTTCAGACTTTTTCACACTCAATGTCATTAAATGTAATGGCCAAGTCAGTCAATTGCCTACGAATGCATTTACTCACAAACGCAGATCACAGAGCTCTGCAGGGTGATGATGCTAAAGGATCATCCTCCTCCTCATCTTTAACCACCACAGCCAAATCAACCCTGCGCATGTGTGATGTGTACGTAAAACTGCACTATAGCATGGCTTGCAGGAGAAGATGATCAATCCTGCTTAAGAGTTCAGTGTCAATAACGAGACTTTGCCCAGGATTGGCCATTTAGGAAGACCCTTACCTGATTGGAAAGAGTTTAATTGATGGATAACCTGTTCATGGCAGAGCAAACTGCATCCACACCGAGTGCACAGCAGAATGGCAGAGTATATTGAAAAGCTTTGTCGGATGGCCATCTGACTCCATATACACAGGACTGGTGGGGGTATTGCTGGGTATAGGGCTGGTGCTGCCATAAAATAGGACAGTTTCAGAGCAACTGTGGTGGTTGGTTTCTGTATGGCTATAGGTTGCTTTTTATTATGGTTAGAATCATGATATGAGAGGGTCAGGATGATTGGAGAGCAAGTTCATGAGTATGAGCCCATAGAGGGTGTGTTTTGGGCTGATTTTAGGGTTCCTCTGGTCTTAGCAATAGAGTGCAGTCTCTTAAAATTAATCAAGATTGAAGCCAGGCTTTGATGGCTGTAATCCTAGCTACTTGGAAGGCTGAGTCTGAGGATTGAGGATTGAAGACAGGCCAGGCAGGAAAGTCTGTAAGACTCTTATCTCCAATTAACCAGCAAAAAGCTAGAAGTGAAACTGTGGCTTAAGTGCCAACCTTGAGCACAAAAGCTCAGGGACACCACCCAGTCCCTGAGATCAAGCCCCAGGGTTGGCAGATACACACACACGTGCACACACAAGCGCGCACGCGCACAAACACACATACACACAAATTCAAGATTGAGACCATTGTAAAATATACATTACTCAAAAAGTAAAATCAGTTAAATCTTGTGACTATAGCAAAGGCCACCCAAATGAGAATAAACAGAAAATATTTAGGTGGGCACAGAATGGAGCCACCTTTTCCAGAGATACAGAGGAAGATAAGAGAGTGGGGAAAGTGTTTAGTGAACAAGCAAGAATGTTTCATAGAAGAGTAGAAGACCTCAAGTGTTCGGTGATTAGAGATTGTTGACACGGGCAAGCGTAGGTGAACTGTCTAGAAGCAGCATCACAGGAAAGGGGTGTGAGGAACTTATTTATATTTCTGTGGTTGCTCCTGAGTTGGAAGGAAGAATAGAAAAATAGGGAAGTTGAAAATTGTGAATTAAGACCTGCCCATTCTGGTCTGAATTCGTCCTAGGTTATGGTTTTCCTTCTTGACCTGGATGCCAAAGAGGTTGGGGTTGGAATCCTGAATAACAGACCACAGCTATGGTAACAAGGGCTTCCATTTTGAGGAGTGTTGATCCAACTCTGAACAAAGGGCTGTTTGTATATTTGAGTTGTATATGCACAATGTCTGCTTGTACATTCTTTCTCAATCTGAATATTTTAGCTTTAGTCTTCCTCACAGGTGACAAGCTAATAATTTTTGAGAACTAGGTGTCACTCACTTGGCTTTGCTAGTCTCTGAAACAGTATGTAGGAAAGAACTCAAGTTCATGGAGAAGGCGCAACGTGATCTTGAAAACAGTGTGAAAACATCACAGGGCTCCTTTATAAAGGGAGAAATTTTTAGCAGATTAGCAGTTCAGGTGGTTGGGATGCTATAGATGTTAGAAATAGCCGGTGTGGAATGGCCTCTTCAGGACCTTAGCCAGTGTGTGATTCCAGGGCCCTGGCTGACCTACTAAAGTGATGGTGGAATGAGAAACTGATGTCACATCATTACTTTAAGAGGTAATCCTGACTTCTGTTGAATGGTGCCTTATTTTTGTAACAATGCTGTTATAGCAACTTGCAGCTGGGAACAAACTCTTTCCTGAGCCTCCCTTTATTTGGGGGCATAGGACAGAGGAAACAGAGCTGAACTAAAAAGCATAAGAGATATAGACTGCCTGCCTGGAGCTAGGACCCAAAAGACTGAAAGGGGACAACACAGATCCTTGGAACACTTTGACTTCTTCTGGATTTGGTTCACTTTCCAAATCAACTGTGCAGTGAAAACTCCCATTTCCTTATGGGACAGATTAACAACCCTCAAAATGCAAGCCATTGTATTTTGTAGCTGTGATTTTGTTATTTATCTAATTTCTCTATTCTGTACCTTAATGTAGACCACAAGGATCAGAGATTTTGAGTTAAACGAAGGGAGGAGGGAGCAAGGGTACTGGCTGATGAAAATGTGCTGGTGGCTAACATGACCAGGGACACTGTCTTGTTTGGTCCTTTTGGCAAAGGAGATCTGGTGGGATTTGTGTTCCCAGGTTCTCTACACAATCCTAGTGACTTTATTTACTTATTTGCTGTTTGTTTGTTTGTTTATTTATTTATTTTTGGTCTGTTGTGGGGCTTGAACTCAGGGCCTAGGTGCTGTCTCCGACTTTTCTGCTCAAGGCTAGCTTTCTGAGGCTATGAGCGACAGCTCCATTTTGGATTTTCTGGTAGTTAATTGGAGATAGGAATCTTATGGACTTTCCTGCCCAGACTGGCTTTGAATGGAGCTCCTCAGATCTGAGCTTCCTAAATAGCTAGGAATATAGGTGTGAGCCACCAGCACCTGACCCCAGTGACTTTTTTTTACGTAAGACAATTTCTGATTTGGGTTTAGTATTTTCCTAATGTGTACCACCAGTCAATAAAGGAGCTGGTAATAAATACAGGGTTGCCAGCTTCCTGTGACTTGTCCTTTCTATTTGACCTAGCTCTATCTAGGCAAATTTCACATAAGAATCATGTTAAGTTTCAACCTGCTAGGAGATTTGTCTTGAAGCTACACATGCAGTGTAAGGTGATCAGCAATGTTTATAGCGAGATTTTTTTTTAAATGTGTATGTGGTCCTGAGGTTTGATGGTGGTAACTGGGAATCTAAAGTCTTTTAAATCATGCCTAAGTATAGTCACTTGTTTTCGGAACAAAACTCAACCAAAAAATCAAAGCTTTGGCCCTTGAAATAGCATTTTTGAATATTATTGTATCTTTCTTGGAAAAACATTTTTTGTCCAATTGAGTTCAATGATGAAAAGTACCAAATTGCTCTAGACTGACTATTCTCTGAGGAGTATCATGATAAGACCTTGCTGTAGCTTTTGGGAATCAGCATTGTGGTTTATACTGCTTGATACTTGGAATGATGGTGAAAGACAATTTGTGCCTTTTACTTCCAAAATTCTTAAAGTCGATGTCAGGAATCACAATTATTCTTTTACTTCCAAAATTCTTAAAGTCGATGTCAGGAATCACAATTATTCTACCCAACACTCCCGCCTATATTGCTTGCTAAGTCATATGTATTCCAGAAAGACTAATAGCATCCAAATGGCGTTCATACTTACCTTCTTACCTTTCTGCAATTCTCTAGAATACATCCTATTTTCATTTTATAGACACAACAAGAACAGAAAAAAATACAGTGGTGTATTTACTATATCAACACAGAGTCCCCCTTAAACACACAAAGGGGTTATTGTACCCTTAGCTTGGTACTCACTGACTCTGTATTTGTTCTGGCGCTTCAGAAGAATAGGTAAAAAGGGATTGGAAAAGTTAGAATTCCAGTGAATTTGCTTCAGTTGCAGACTGATGTGCCTCTTGTCCTTTTCTTCTTTAAAAACATTTTTCCGATGTAGATATTAAAGATGTGTTGAAATCAACTGTTCTTTCCTCTTGAGTAAGCAGAGATCTACCAGCTGCTGACAAGTAATTGTCCTAATTGTTAGTTTCTGTGAGATCTTTCTTTTTGTATGTCCTTTCTTCCCTTGGACATAAAGTCAACAAGCCCCTGTTGATTAGTCAGAATTGAACACAAGCTTTTGGACAACTGCCAGAAAATGTGCTTTTTTGGGGTGGTGGTGGTAATTGTTTTAGGAACATACAGGAATGACAGGACTTTAGGATCAGCTTGAGTTCCATTCATGATTTGGCCTTATTTAAATGGATTTCAGTGAATCTCATCACTCTGTGAACACAAGAAAGATCCAGCAGGCAAGGCACTTGTCTTCATGGGCTCTTCTTCCATTTTCCAGCATGAAGCTCTTGCTGCAAGCATGAGGACTGGGAGAATGGGGAGGGACAGAAACTCAGGAATTCGTCAGGCTTGAGCCTTCAATGTCTGGGATCACTGAGGGTCTTAAAGCTCAACATCAGACAGCATCCTATTTGCACAGGGCAGTGTTGGTATCCTCTTGTTCTTCACTTTAGGAATCAATCACAAATTCCTTTGTGACATACCAAAACAAAGATATGCTTTTATCACTTCATCACATGTAATATTTGGAACTTTCATATTTCTTCTCTCAGGACAATGAAAGTATTTCTGAAAAGGATAATGGAATGTGATTTTTCCCCCCTTACCCAAAAGCCCTTGGATGACCTGATGAAGTGAAGTTT